TCCGAGGGCTGGAGCAGCAAGGGGAGAAACTGCTGGCAGGTGTGTGGGTGGAGGGCTTGGTGGGTCTGAGGTCTTACTCAGCCCTGTCCTGCCACGGGCCACTCCCTGCCGCCCGCCCCGCCCAGGGCCCCAGGACTGGGAGGGGGCACACCTGGGCACAGTGCCGAGAGCCTGCCACCGCCTGGATGAGCTTCACGGGGGGCTGGCCGGGGGCCCCCACCCACACCAGGGCGCTGAATCTGCCCTCAGGGCGGGAGCCTGGGGAACGAGACACAGACCTGAGTGGGGCCCTCCCGGGAGCCAGGAGGGCTTGGGGAGGGCCTTGGCGGGACTCCTATGGGTGAGGCGAGGGCAGCTTGGGACGCACCCTGCTGCAGATGGTAGAAGGGGAAGTCCTGGGGACGGGTGGAAAAGGTGGACAGGGCCAGGAGCGCCCCCGGGGGGCTGTTCCACAGCTGCCAGGGGTGAGCTGGTGCGCCAGCCAGCCGGGAGCGAAGGACCTGGGAAGCAAGACGGGGCTGTGCAGAGAGGGACCCCTGCCCCGGGGCCTCCGAACCTGTGGGCAGGGCCTGCGGCTGCCAGGACCAGGCCCAGCCCTGAGCGCCCCCTTCAGGCTCTGCCCGCAGACCCGGAGCAGAGAGGCTGCGGAACTGAAGGTGCAGCTGGCGGCAGGCGGGCTCCCCGCCTCCCTCCGTCCCCTGGGCTGGCGCATGCTTGGACCCCCATCTGCCACAGCCGTGCCCTCTGCGACGGAAACCAAGGCAAGCCTGGAGCAGTTTCTCACGACCTCACTTCCCAGAGCATCTTCAAGGGGAGCCCCAACACAGGGAGAGAGGGTCCCAGGACTGGAGTTGGAGAAGGGACCCAGATGGAGCCAGAGGAAGGGCCAGGGCTGCCTCACCTCCAGAGTGGTCAGGACCACCTTCTCCACTGAGGAGAAGTAGGCGCCCCACAGGAACTGCGTCTGCTGGCGCAGGGCGAGGACCCGTGCCGGGGGCATCTCCTGCAGGGCAGCCAGGACCTGGGCGCAGGGGAGGAGGCCCAGCACCGCATCAGGCCCAGAGCCCTGGGAGCGGCTGCGTGAGAGGTGTGGAACCAGCGGGCGGCAGGTGGCGTGGTGGTTAAGGGCGCTGGACTCCCACATGGCCAACCGGGTTTGAGTCCCAGACCGGGCAACTTGCCGCTCTCCCACTTTCTCTCCTCCCCCCTTCTGGTCAAATTGAAGTAGATAGATACATACATAAATAAATAAATGAGACTTTGGAGCCAGAAGCCCTCTCCCCATGCCTCTCCAAGTGGACTTATTTTTTTTTTTCAGAGAGATATTTTGCTATAGGGCGCATGCATTCGCTGGAGAGACAGACAGAGAGACAGAAAGTGAGAAATAACCCCCTGGGGGATGGCCATGCCACAATCCCTTCTCCATTTTTCTCTGGAGATTTTGGGTACACACACACATGCGCCCAGAGTTTAAGCCCCAGGGTCCAGGACTCAAACCATGGTGGACTATGTGCGGGTCCAGCAGCCCAGCCATTACCCCCTGTGCTGGTCCCTCTAAGTGGATTAATAGCAGCTACCCTGGGCCAAGTCCCAGCTTACATTGCACTCAAGAGTCCAGAAGAGGGGCCGGCAGATGGCATGGAGGTTAAGGCGGCTGGATCTTACATGGCCCACTGCACGGTTCGAGTCCCAACCTGGTGACTTGGAAAACATGCTGGGAACGTGTGTTTGTGCCTAAAATCCCGAGACGAGAACTACGGGGAAGGGATTATAGTGTGGCCATCCTCCCTGGGGGTGTGTGTGTGTGTGTTCTCCCTCTCTTTCTCTGTCTTTCTGCAGTGAGCACGTGCATTCTATAACAAATTAAAAATTAAAAAAAAGTTCAGTAGACACACAGCCACATATTGGTATGCTACTTAGTAACCACGTGACGGAGTCAAACTACCTGACCTCTCTGAATCTGTGGCCGCACCCGGATGAGGAAATAGCATTCCTCGTAGGAAGGGTGTCAAGGCTAAGTAAGATGACAAGTAATGACTGATTGCAACATTACAGAGGCTCAGTAAATAAATGATAATTATTATTATTTAAAATTTTGCCAGAGGGCATGTGTGCTTGCCAGAGAGAACAAAGGAGAGGGAAAGTGAGAAAGCACCCCAGCGCGGTGCGTCCAGGAAGCACCCCTTCTCCTCCGTTCCTCTCCTCTGTTGAAACTTTGGTACTTACACACACAAGTCTGGAGTGTTTTTCAAGCTGCCAGGTCCAGGACCTGAACTGCTCAGTTGGCCATGTGGGGATCCAGCCACCTTAAGCACCATGCCACGGGGTGCCCCTTAATGGTAGCTATTATTATTATTATTATTTTAAGAGGTTTTTTTTTTTTTTTTTTTTTTGGTCTAGGGATGCATACACTTGCCAGAGAGAGTCACAGTGAGAGGGAAAGTGAGAAATGACCTCGGGAGGGAGGGCGATGGCCACGCTGCCATCCCTTCTCCTCCATTCTTCTGAGGATCTTAGGCGTGCACCCACACACGTCCAGCATAATTTTCCTTTTTTTTTTTTTTTACTTTATTTATTTATTTTAATTTGACCAAGGAGGGACAGAGTGAGAGAGAGGAAGGAGAGGTGAGGAAGCAAGTCACCAGGTTCAGGACTCGAACCATGGTTGGCCACATGGGAGTCCAGCACTCTTAACCACCATGCCACCTGCTGGCTCCATCCAGCATGATTTTCAAGTCACCGAGTCTGGGACTCGAACCACAGTCGGCCATGTGGGAGTCCAGAGACATAACCACTAGGCCATCTGCTGTCCCCATGGTAGGTGTCATTAACCCCTTACCCCATTCTCTCTTCTCCGGGGCTCCCTGGCAGGCTCACACATGTTTTGCAGAGCTGGGCAAGATCAGTTTCCTCAGTGGAAGCTCCTTGTCCTTTGTCCCCTCCCCAAAGTCCCATGGAGGCTCTCTGACTTGGGGCTTGGGGCAGCTGTCCCTTAGCTTGGTTAAGCAGACCACTGAAGTCGGGCCTGTGCAGGTCATCTGTTCTAATGTATCCCATTGCAGAGATGGGAGAACTGAGGCTAAAGAGACTCAGGGTGGCTCTCAGAACCCTCGAGAGTCTTTACCTCTGTCCAGTCCCTGCGGGAGTCCCAGAGGGGAGGCTTGGTACAGACTTATCGGTCTACACAGAGGGGCTAGAAGTGCAGACGAGCCAGCAGGGAACCGGGCCCCTGAGCTCCCTCCCGTGTCCAGCGTTCGTCCCCACCCATGGGAGGACCCCGAGCTACCTGGAGTGGGAGCCTCTCATCAGCGACAATGGCCGCCTTGGTCCAGTCGATGACCTCGGAGAAGGGCAGCTCCCAGCGGGGGCTGAGAAGCACAGGGATGCAGCCTGCCTGAAGGGCAGGGTGGTCACTGGGGAGCCCCGTGCCCCAGCACGTGCGCACCCCCACCCTCCCCAGTTGTGGTCAGCTGCTGCTTTGGTCAGTGGCAGGGGTGAAGAGGAGAGGAAACTGGTTTTCGTGGGGGAGAGGCAGGCATGGTTGTGCAGAGCGGGCAGTGAACGTGGCTGTGGGCACATCTGAGCTCCAGAGCAAAGAAATGGGCAGTTGCTCCCCTTGCTATGGCCCAGAGCGTGGGGAGACAGAAGGCAGGGGCCCAGGCGGGGTCATACCTGCAGGGCTTGGAGGAAGCGCCCGGCACCAGGACGGCGGCCCGGGATGAGGCAGAAGGTGGCGCTGGGCAGCGTATCCCCAGGGTGGGTCCTAGGGCAGCACGTGAGGGCTCTCTGCACGTGGGGGCTAAGGCAGCTGCCCCCGTGGTCCCAGCACCTTACACCCACACTCACAAGTCTGCCACGTGTGGACCACCACCACGTGCTGGGGTAGCCGGTGCTCACACAGCCACACACGGACACGCTCACACGCTTGGCCTCACACCAGCCCCTTGTCCACGGTCGGACTGGGAGGCAGGAGCCCTGGGTTGCCCCTGGAGTCCTCAAACGCCTCCTTGCCCTTCTCTGGGCCTCGATTTCCCCATCTGCAAAGTGGGAGGAGGTGGCAGGACCCGAGGTCTCCGAGGCCTGTCTCGCTTAGAGGCGCACACGCCTGCGCTCCCAGAGCCTTGCCACACGCTCTCAGGCACCCCTCACCTGAGTGGCCCCCATGCCCAGCCCTCCACACCCAACAGAACCCAGGCATTTGAAAGGCTTCTCTGTCGTGAGGCGGGCTAGGCCCCCAGCCTGGAGCCACACAGGAAGCTGTTGCCCAGAGCCCCACCTGGAGCACAGGCCTCCTCTGTCTCTCCACCTCCCCCGCCCCAAAGCCACACTAGGGCTGTGTGCCTGGGGGGAGGGGCAGGAGCCGCTGCCTCCTCGGAGCCCCCCTCCCCTCCGAACCCCCAGTCCTGGGCTCAGGACCTGCTCGCATGAATAGGGCCCAGGCCTTTCTCAGCTACAGCCTGTCTGGTTCTGAGCAGGCCCGGGGCACTTAGGGAGCTCTGGACCAACACCGTTTTTTGTTTTTTTTTTTGAGAGGTTTTTTTTTTTTCACTATAGGGCGCGTGCGCTCGCCAGACAGAGAGAGACATAGAGACAGAAAGCGAGAAATCACCCCCCAGG